TCCTTGGCTTCTCCATTGGAGACCCCAGAGACTGTCTCAAGCTCACTTTCCTGGGGGACCCTATGGGTGGTCCTCCCTTTCTGGGCTAGGTGTGGGGTCATCTCCCAGACCGCTTATGACATGTAGCTTAGGTGTCCTCTATCCAGATTTCCTCAGACCTTACCCAGGAGTTCAGCTATCGCCCCTGTTAGATTTTTTGGAGAATAAAAGGAAAGATAGAGGAGTAGGGACAAGAAACCAGAGCCAGACCTGCAACAGGCAAGGAATGTATCTTCCTTTATTCAAAGAGATACAGTGAGAGGTAGAGGCTGTCCGAGGGAACCAAGTTTTTACAACTAGACAAAGAAACTGAGGGGTTTTATACCAAAATTTTGAGACACAGCTGCACTTTGTGGGGAGTTAAATTAGTGCCCAGGTTTGGTGTCCTTGAGGGTCTCTTAGACAGGTGGGTGAATTATCTATAGCACTAAAGGAGACAGGTGGGCTCCACAAACAGTCTCTCTCAGTCTAAGGAGTGACCAGTTGGTAAGGCTCGAGCAAGGCCAGGCTGCCAATTTAGGGCCAGTTAAGACACTTTAAGGGATGTATAGCCTTCCCTAATGAGGCTTGTGGCTCTTCTGCAATTCACATATTCTATCAACCGCAAGGCTCCACTGAGGCCAGACACTTGGCAGGTGCTACCCTCTACTTTTCCTCTCTGACCCTTCTTCCATAGTTCTGTCCCCAGGGCTGGAAGGTTTCCCTTCAGAGGTTCAAATGCCAAGAAGTAATCCCTATATCAATAAAGAACTATCATCTCAACAGTTGAGGGAAAAGCATTTGACAAAATTACTAGTTCAGGATAAAACTCCTCCACAGACCGAGAACCTCCCCGACCCAGTAAAGGGCATTAGTGGAAACTTCAGAGCCAATTTTATACTTAACAGTAAAACAGTGAGGTTTCCCACTAAGATTAGGAACCAAGCAAGGACATCTGAAATACTGTTTCTATTTAACACTGTACAAGAGGATCTAGCCAAAGTAAACAGGCAAGAAAAGAAAATCAAAGTTACTCAAATTGGAATAAGTGATGTCTATTTGCAGATGATAGGATCTTATAAGTAGAAAATCAATTATCAATAAAACAAGTAATGAGAGTAAGAAGGAACCCCTTGACCACTTGTGTTCATGCTGGGGTCCTTTTCTGGGGGGAGGGAGGCCTTGATCTTGATGAACGAGGGGAGCAGAGCCACAAAAATGTGACAGAAGCAGGGACTTGTGGAATCGACATTTCACAGTATCTTCCTGCTTCACATAGGATGAAAGGACAGATGAAGAGGTGGGGTGGACCAACGGGCCAACTCTAGGCTAGTGGCGTTTGAGTTTGATCAGGAGTCGTGGACTGCAGGCTCCCGGGGACAAATCTGCCTGGGGTTTAGCCTCCTGAGCAGGGCAGCGGCCTCACCTGTGTACAATGAGAGTAATTATCTACAACTGTTAGTGAATACCTCATTGGGTCATTGTGAGAATCCAACTAGATATTCTCCAAAGCACGTTTGGAAGTTCCTGGTGTCCAGAAAACAACAGATGCCAGTGTTTCTTCTCCTTTCTCCAAAGTGCTTCTTGACAAATCTTAGCTTCCCTGTCACAGAGAGGAGCGTAAAGACCACCTACCTCACCGCAGGTGAGCCCTCAAGGCTTGTGACTTATGCAATTTTGCAAAGAAGCCATGGGAAACACAGGTGGCTGTCAGGTTGTGACACTGTGGCAGTGAGCTGCCCCTCATTCTCCTCTGCCCCTCTCCTCTGGTAGCATCTTGTGTTGTCTGATTGTATTCTGAGCCAACCCAACCACCAGCATCTGCCCCTGCTGTGGTGAGCATCTCCTAGTGCAACAGACTGCAAACCACATTGAGTAGTCTCACTCAGAAAACCCAGATGCAAGAGAAGCCACTTGGGTCGCCATATAGCCAGCCCACCAGGGAACTGCAGCCTCTAGTCCTCCTGGAGATGACCCAGAGCCACATCGAATGCAAATGAGCTCTGAGCTGGAGCAAAGCTGTTTTGTTCTCACAACTGCCCAATCCCTTATCACCGTTCTGAAACCCAAACATCTCAGCCAACTCAAGGTTGTTGTGACTCATTTGGCTGCGAATCTTGACCGCTTTGTGTGAATGCTTGCAGGTGTTGCTGCAGAATATTGATGTGTTTAATTACGGAACCTTGCCCCAGGCGCTGCTACAGGTGTTATGTAATGTGGCACATGAATTGTGTATTAACTTTTGAAAAGGCTAAGAAGCTTGAATTCTGAACCCTACCTGACCCTGGCTATCTGGATAAGAGAGTATGTCCTGGGGGCTGTGGTCAGAGGAAGCACCATACAAAATTGATATAAAGAGACTAACAACTGAACAGGATGGAAAGAGCAATGAGTTGGCAAGCAGAACCAGCTGGAACTGGCTCTCTGTTCTAAGTTTTCACCAGCTGGGGAATCTTGGCAAAGTCTCCAAACTAGAAAGCTTTGGCTTCTATACTTACAAAACAGAACTAATAAGATCCAAGTCCCACTATTATTGGGGAATTTAGTCAGGTGCTGCTTGCCTAGTACATACAGAGAAAATGCTTAATATTGAGTACTCAGTACTGATAACTGTAAATGTATGGCTTGTGTCCTAGTTAGCTTTCTATTGTTGTGATAAAACACTATGACCAAAACCAACTTGGGGAGGAAAGGATTTATTTCACCTTATAATTCACAGTCCATCATGGAGGGGAGCCAGGACAAGAGCTCATGGTAGGAACCCGGAGGCAGGAACTGAAGCAGAGACCATGGAGGAATGCTGCTTACTGGCTTGCTCCTCTGACCTGTGTGCAGCCTGCTTTCTTTTTAAAAATTTATTATCATTTTTATTTTATTTTATGTGTATAAGTATATTTCCAGCATGTATGTAAGTGCATCCATGTCCTGTAATGTCTTCAGAGGTCAGAAGAGAGCTTTGGATCCCTTGGAATTGGAATTTATAGATGGTCATTAGCCACCATGTGGCTGCTGGGAACCAAAAGCAGCCAGTGCTCTTAACTGCTGAGCCATCTCTCTAGTCTCTGAAGACTGCGTTCTTATACATCCCAGGACTACCTGCCCAGAGGTGGCACTACCCACAGTGGGCTGGGCCTTCCCATATCACTCAACAGTTAAGAAAATGCCACACAGACATGGCCACAGGTAGGTTCAATTGGGGAAATGCCTCAGTTGAGGCTCCCTCTTCCCAGGTGTGTCAAGTTGACAAAGTGATCCAGCTCAGCTTGCGAGATCTTTACCTCTGCATCTGTAGTATGCTATGCATTGAGTGGTAGGTTTGGAGGGGGTGGCAAAAGGTGCCTTGTTTGCAGGGATCCACAGACCTCAATGGGGTCAGGCATGACAGACCCTAATCAGTGCACTGTGCAGAGGCAGGATCCCAGCCCTGGAGCCACATGCATGCAAAGAGAAAGCACAGGAGCTTTGATCCCTGAGTGATCAAAACTTTAAGTCCTTATGGAAAAAAAAGTAGGCAATGCCCCTCTGCGGCAGTGTTCCCCACTCTTCTGGGGAACAAAATGGGCAAACAGATGGAATTAATGTTGATAAATGTTAAAGTTTGTGGCAAAGACACGTGTTGGCTTTCAGCACTAGGGGAAGACAAAGCTCAACACCAGAGGTCTCCTTCTGCAAGTCCTTGCCTTGGAAGCCCAGATTCCCAAAATAACTGAGAATGTGTCTTATCCCAACTAAGACTAAAAACCTTATGATTAGGGGCTGGAGAGATGGCACAGTGGTTAAGAGCATCGGCTGCTCTTGCAGAGGACCTGTGTTCAGTTCCCAGCACCCACATGGCAGCTAACAACTGTCCTTAACTCCAGTTCCCGAGCATCCAATGCCCTCTTCTGATCTCTGCAGGCTTTTCATGCATGAGTGTACGTCTGTACATGCAGTAAAACATTTATACACACACAGGACACCATGGGCCTGAATTTCTGCCCCCATGTAAGTGATAACACGTGCCTCTGACCTGGTCCTTTGGTTAAAACCCCCATCTCCCTTAAGCAGGAAGGATTTGGCCACAGGCAGAGGGTAGGGCCTGTGCCCAACTTATCTACAAAGGAGCCACCTAACTCCAGGAGCTAGGTACTTAGATGATCTTCAACCATCACCTCCAGCCAAGAGCTATTTGCAGGATGTGGGTGTCTGGATATGGCTTGACACTATAGCTTAATGAGAATAGGAACAGGATAAGCCCTTTGGGAGACACTGTTGGCTAATCTGAAATTCCTGGTATTGTGAGAAAAGGTATCCTGGGATGAGCTAGCCCACAAGGAGGACAGCAATTCCGGTGTGGGCACCACCTCCATTTTCCCCCACAGTAGATTATTTTACAGTAGACTTTATCTTTTAAAAGTCTATGAGTTCTGGACCTGAAATGGCAGAGCACTTGGCATTTATGAGGCCCTGGATTCACTTTCCAGCACTACTAAAAATGAAAATGAGGAGAACAAAAACCCAGGAGTTATTCCACACCACTGTATCAGCAAGTGAAAGGGAAAGGTGATTGTCCTTGTCAAAGACTCTTGACCAAGCCTTGACCCTGCCTCTCTATCAGTCAAGGCTGGAGGTACTGAACACAAGAAGGTTGGCAGTCTTTTCCCTTTTAGGTGGCCAAGTGGTGTGAAACAGCCTGGGCCTGCCTTGAGGTGTTGTATACAGGCAGCCACAGAATCTTCTAGACTCTCTGTCTTCTCCAGGCATGAATATTTCCACCCCCTGTCAACCCTCCTATAGACCAGTCAAAGCTCAAGCCTCTAGTTCTGTGCGCAGGCTCATGAGTCTGTTTATTATGGAGTCTTTGATCCATTCTGCCTGAGACAAGGTCTATAGCTGAATTTGTTCTGAGCAGCAAGGAATGAATAAGCAATGAGAAATTGTCCAAAGACTAGCTTGAATTCTCCTTTCCCTCATATATATTTATTCCAAAGGAAAACATTAAACAAATGATCACACTGATTTTGAGTTAGGGTAGCCGAGCTGATATCTTAATTGTAACAACATAAAGACAAAAGGCTTTTTGAATCAATAAATAGAATAAATAATCCTGCATCTTCATATTCTGCCTTTCCTTTCTCTCATCCCTTCCTTCTGGAAAGTTCCCAGGAGACTCCTCAGAAATGTCACAGTGTTGCTTGCTGTGGTCTGGTTGCATGGCTGTTCACAGGTAAAGAACTGCAAAGACAAAAGTTGACAAGACAGACTGATTGGCTCAGCAGTGTGCACCCAGCAGCCCCAGGACCACCTTACCCTGAGCCTTGGGGGAAAACCAGGGGAGAAATCTAGAGAAACTAAGAGGGGGGATCCCAAGCTAGATTGTATTTGGTAAGACTGTAGGGGATTGATGTGTTGACAAGATTTTAGGGGGTCTGTAAACCCAGAGAGAGAGACAGAGAGACAGAGCAAGAGAGAGAGAGAGAGAGAGAGAGAGAGAGAGAGAGAGCAAGTGGCCCCAAATCTCATCAGGGAAAACCCTTCCCTAGGACTCTTACTATCATCATCACCATCATCATCATCATTATTATTATTATTTTATTACATGCATGTGCATGTATTGCTTGCATATATGTAATTGTGCCCATGTCATGCAATGCCCAAGGAGGACAGAAGAGGGCATCAGATCCCCTGGAACTGGAGTTATGGACAATTGTTACCTACCACGTGGGCGCTGGGATTTGAACCTGGGTCTTCTGCAAGAATAGCCAGCGCTCTTAACTGCCAAGCCATCTCTCCAGTCCCTTCCCTGAGACTCTTTAGAGACTGAAATACATCTTTATCCCCTTTGCTTGTCCTCTTTTTTTTTTTTTTTTTTTTTTTTAAATATGGAACGCTTCACGAATTTGTTTGTCCTTTTAAGGTCATTTTATAACACAATGAGACTTTGGGTTCACACTGACCAAAGTTGAAGTATCAACTCTGCCTCTTATTAAATATAATAGCATCAGATAAATTAACTTTCCCAAGCTTCACTTTCCTCCTCTCTAGCAAGGAAAACAAAGCTAGAGCCAGTCACTCAGCCTAATAGCACCTGTAGAGCATTTAGAACCAGATGCCACTGACTGCTGGGGCACACTACCTTGGGCCATTGGTGCCCTCCTGTAGGCACTAACACACAAGGAGGCAAGGCGGTTGCCCACCCTGCTGCAGGAGCCATGGCTCATGCTGTTGGTGGTACGTAGGCCCTGTGGCCAGTACCCACCTAGATCTGAGTGTATTTTCCTTTATAAACCTTTTAGTCATTCAAAACAAAGAAATGAAAAAGCCTTTACTCACGGGCCACCACACCCTTTGGTTAGCAAATTAACTCTTTTGGATAACTAGTACTGTGTAAACCTCTGGTCTCTAGAATGCAGCTTCTAATTACAACCTGGATGGATTCTTTCATTCTCCAACAAAGCACAGAGAAGAAAGGCTGCATGGGTACCAGCAGCTTCTGTGTAACCAGGGGAAACAACAGGATCCAGGGCAGCTCCAACCTGCACTGATAATCTTGTGTAGCTAAATTTCATACCTGTCCCTCTTTTGCCCTTGAAGTATCAACCCCAACTTTGCCATCCTTTCTCATGCAGAGTTAGCATCAACATTCTCATAGAAACCACACATCACATGTGAACACAAACTCACTGAACATTTGTTGTTCTTCAGGTCCTCAACCGTCCTTCTGACTCTCTGAAAAAACACTGACAAGGGTGTATTCTGTGTGACGTTGATCAACTGTGACAGTCCCTCCCGGAAACATGGAGTGGTACAATTGTCCTGGTAAATAATAAGGATTTGTGAAAACCATCTTGGAACTGCTTTAAGAAAGAATCACAAAGAGAACGTTAAGGACCATTTTAATTTAACCAAAGTAACCTAAACTTGCACTATTTTGGGATCCATTCCTTGCCAGTCTAGGAAATGATCTTCAATAATCTGAGGTGAGGTCATGTTCTTAGTGACATTCTAGAGGATATTCCATGTAGGAAACGTGAGGCCTGCCACCCTGACAAAGCATATTTTCAACCGATCCCTGCTTCAGGTCTAGTAGCTCTGAGTTTGGAAGTGTAAAGAAAAAGCCTTTCTTACACCAACTGATGGGGCACACCATTGGATAGGGCTTGTGTTCTCAGAGCTAAATCCTTGATGAAGGGAGAGGCCTAGCTGGGCTAGGCTGGACTGGGCCCTTCCATATCCACAGACCCTGAAGGATGTGGCATCCTACCGCCACAGGGTTCTAAGCTCAGCTTCTCCCAGGCCTAGCTTGAGGATGAGAATTGTTGTGGTTGTACAGGGCAATAAATCAAACTACAGACAAAGATATATGTATATTAAAGAAATATATATATATATATACATAGATAATTTCAAGAGCTTGGTTTTGAAAGAGAATACTAATCTGTATCAATTGCAATTAAGTAATAATTTCTCATTTAAAATATCAATTGAGTTCTTTCTTTTTAAAAGCTTAACCAAGCAGGGTCCCACTAATCTTTTTCTACTATACTTACAGGAGGGATGGGAAGACACAAACAGCTGGTCGCCTGCAAGAGAGACATCTGAGTGAACATTCCAGATGTGACAAGGAAGATGGATTTGCAAAGTTCTTAACGGAATACTCACATTGGTACTGCAGCTGCATGTTGAGGATGGGTCCTTCTAAAGTAGGCAGAGAGAGAGAGAGAGAACCCGCAGTGAGTAGTGCCCTTTGCCATCTTCCTGGGGATGGGATACAGTGCTCCCCAGTCCCCAGATCTACCTGCAAGTTGTTGATGAGTGAATTCACATGTAGGATTCCCATACTGGTGAGACATCTCTGGCCTTGCACAGAACAGAAGAGCAGGGAAGAGACAAGGACAGTGGCCACAAACATCTTGACAGTAGTCTAGGACTCAGCCTGCAGACAGCTTCCAGTCCAGTTGTATTTAAAGCTCTTTTCAAACTGGGAAAAACCCTGACATCAAACTGATACCTGGAGCCCACTTTTTCTCTGTAAATTGAGGCCAATTGATAATTGAAAAAAAAATCAGTCTGAGTCACTTAACAAAGATTATGTTTTGTGCCAGGAAATAGCATTCCCCAGAAAAGATGCTTTTCAAAAAGTTGGGGGGTCTGAAATACTAAAGGAAAAGTTAAAGATCTAAAAACCCTATTTTTTTTTAAGGCAGGAATTCTGGTATGCGAGTCAGACTACTTTCTATGAAAGCCCAAATCTGTGTTTCCCCTTCTACATAATTGAAAATGCTGACATAAAGCCAGTCATAAGTATTGTAATGAAGGGGGTCACGTCAGGGATATCAGGGGAGGCAGAGGAGTGATATGGCAGGACACCCCTCCCACTCATTGAGGTTTTTCTTTGGTCACTGTGCCCTCAGTTTACATACTTGATTGCTAGATATACTTAGTCTTTCACACCCGGGAGGGAAAGTTCTACCTCACACGTATGCCTCTGAGAAGTCTTATCCTAAGCAAGCTTGTGAAGAGGTTTCTGTAAGCACATGAATGATGTGACTGCTTAACGTTGCCCTTGAGGAGCCTTTACAGACCTTGCATACCACCTGTGTAAAGTTTTTTTTAAGTACTTAAAGCAGGATGTCACCTAGTACTTACTGAGAACTTACAACATGTCAGTCCCAATCCTAGGTACTTTATATAAACCAAATCTTGTGTTCTGCAAAGCCACCAAGTGAGATGGTACTGCCATCCTCATTTTCTACCTCTTAAATCACTGTGCACATCTTAGCCACCAAGTCCTTTAATGTGGTTATGTCCATCACCATAAGCCAGAACTCAGACCCACTGTAGCCTTCTGAGGTAAATGCCATAATTATGCTCAGTGTTTTATACATGGAGAAACCAAGGCACGAGAAGCAAATGGCTTGCCCATAGTCACACAGTTAGGAAGCTGTGGAATCTGCAGCGAAGATCCCAAGTACAGGTTTTAAGTTTTTTTGCGTGTGTGCAGCGATTGAACCCAGAGACCTGAGCATGTCAGGCAAACAACTACATCCTCAGTCCCCAAATGCAATTTAAAAAATAATTTAAAAATACTTTGTTTATGATTAATATTTGGGATCTGTGTGTGTGTGTCTCTCTGTGTGTGTGTGTGTGAGTGTGTGTGTGTGTGTGTGTGTGTGTGTACACATGTACATGTAGAGGGTCAGAAGACAATTTTCTAGAATCAGTTCTTTCCTTCCATCTTGCCTCTGTGGCACAGTCCCTCCTACTGATTTTGGTGTACCATGTACTAGCTGGTCTCATGTTTCTGGGTCATTCTCCTGCCTCTACCCCTTATCTTACTGTAGGAGTTCTTGGATTACAGAAATGAACCATAACATCTGGCTTTTTTACCTGGGTTCTTGGAATCAAACTCAGACTGGCAGACTTACAAGACTAGAGCTTTTCCCAGCTGAGCTGTTTTGCCAACCCCCTAGTGAAGCTCTTAACTGTTTTCCTACTGTCCTGAGTGCTACTCAGTGCCCCCACCCCTAATGCAGACTCCGGGGTCTCTGTAGGTCTAGTTTTCCAGTCCACTGTCTGTACTTAAGTATCTGGAGATTCCTTTTTAAAAACTTATTTATCTATTTTTATTTATATGTATGCATGTTTTCCTGCATGTAAGTGCACTGCATGCATGAAATGCTTACAGAGGCCAGAAGAGGGAGCCTGATCCCCTGGAACTGGAGATACAGGTGATTATGAGCCACCATGTGGGTGCTGGAAACTGAACCTGGATCTCTGCAAGAGCAGTCAGCATTCTTAACCACTGAGCCATCTCTCCAACTCTACCTGGAGATTCTTAAACTCTCATTAAATGCTGGTTGGTTGACCTCAAATATTGGTTTGAAATGTATTTCTTGAAATTGAAAGAATATATAACTGGGATTTTTGTAAGTTTTGAAAGCTAGTTCTATCTAGATGCAAGTACAGGTAAGAAAATGTGCTGTTTATACCATCACTTTGACTCATAGTCATCAGGGAGCAAACCACCAAGATGGTCTCAGCACGGTGCAAGAAAGTTTGTCATTGAATTTCTTTCTTCAGGAGAAAGGTGGATTTTCAGAACTTCACTTCATGGTAAGTGGTGGCAAACATTCTAGAGATGGCTTTTTTTACTAAATTCTCCAAATATTCCCACAGCTTTGTCCTGCATGCCTGCCTTCCTACTAAGGAGGAAGCTGGAAGGCCTCCCGGCCTATGGCAAACACTTTGTTGCTGAGTCCAGATCTGCACCTGTTTCTCTCTGATAGGACTCTGGTTAGTTGCCTGTGGCAATACACCCAGCTGATTTTGCTGCAACAGGAGTCGCTTGTCACATTTTAGTCTGCAGCTTATGTTGCCTGGAGAGTCCTGGCCTGACCAACAGTCCTTGGATCATCCACACCCTGCGATCACCCCCAAGAGATGGTGCAGAGATGGCTCCATAGACATGGGCTCTTATCCGACTGGTCACCTCACTTTTCCAGGATGGGGAGTATCACCCAGCTTTTCCTTGAAGAAGAATAGGAATATTTGATTTAGAATACCTTATCTAGCAATTAACCATGGTTTCATTTGGAAATTTGATCTGGCCTGGCTCTGTCTCCCTAGATGTTGACCTCCCCTTTTCCAACCATTCTCCACTCACGTTAGTTTCTATTTCCAGCTTATCTACCTTTGCCGTTGCTAAGCTCTTCTTAGAACGGCCTCCCTCAACGTCCCAGATATGGCTTGGTCTCGTTCTCCAGGGCTTGTCTGACCACAGTCATCATTGAAATCGTATGTCTCTGTCTCTCTCTTCTTAAAATTAATACATAGTAGTTGTACCTATTTTCAGGATACAGTGTGATGATATGTCAGTGCACGTGTACAATGTGTACTGATCAGTCAGGGCAATTTGCTTTCCATCTCATCACTTGATTATATTTGGAGCCTTTGAGTTCCTGTCTTTTATTCATAAAAATATATGTTATTATGAACTTTCACCTCCTTCCCCTACACTGTAGAACACCGGAGCTTATTCCTTCCATCTAAGTGAGGCTTATTATCCAAACTCCCTTTATCGCTGTTCTCTCCTGCCCTTCCTACCCCACAGTAGTTATCACTCTACTCTCTTCTACTTTGAGACCAACATTTTGGGTTTCAAAATGTTGCAAAGATGTGATGGAGATTCTGTGGAACTTGTCTCTGTGTATGGCTTATTCCTCTTAGTGTATTTCAGTTTCTCCATATTGCACAGATGACAGACTTTCACTTTTATGGTAGAATAATATTCCATTGTGCACACATACCACATTTTCTTTTTCTTCTTCTTTTTTATCGCATTTTTTTTTCTATCTGTTGATGGACTTGCAGGTTGATCCTACGTCATAGGTATCATAGCCATGATAGTCTCCCCAAGGGGTGCTGATCACATTTCCTTCGGATATATACCCTGAAGCAGGATTCCTGGATTGCTGGATTTTAGTTTTCTGAAATCTTCACACTGTTCTCCCAGATGACTGAACTGATTTACACTTCCACAAGCAGTGTGTGAGTTCTCCTACTGTGCATCCTTGCTAGAACAACGTTTGCTATTTTTTTGTAATAACGATTTTGAATGTGATAAAATACCAAGTGGAAGAAAGCAAAGGTATATACCCAGGAAGGGAGGAAATCAAATTACTTCTGTTTGAAGATAACAGGATTCTATATACAAAAACCCCTACAAACCCTACCAGAAGACTACTAACACAGATAAAGGGATTCAGTAAAACTGAAGGCTAGAAAATCAAGACAAAATTCAGCCATATTTTATACACTAATAATAACCTTACGCAGAAGATCGTGAGAGTTGCCCTACTCACAAAAGCAGCAAAAATAAAATGAAAGAAAACAAAATAAACATCTTGGAATAAGCCAGGTGTGGGAGTGTGTGCCTGTAATCTCAGCTACTCAGGAAGCTGTGGCAGCAAGATCACCTGAACCTGGAAATTGAGAGCCAGCCTAGGTCATACAGTAAGCCCTGTCTTTAAGTTAATTAATTAATGTCTAGGAATAAATTTAACCAAAATATAATGAGGACATGATAAAAATTGAAGACGGTGTGTTCACTCACAATAGAAAGACTGCTCATGTTCATGGACTGGGAGAATTAATACTGTTCCTGTCCCTCCTACCCAATGTAATTTATAGATTCAATCAAAATGCCAATGACATTCTTCACATACAAAGGAAAAACAATTCTAACTTCATTAAGTGCTCAGGAATTACTGATTACATGTTTAATAAATTTGAGTTTGTAAAAATTTATTAAATTTACATTATTTGGCCATAACCAACATCATTCCAACCAGCAGATGATTAACAAACAAACAAACAAAAAAGATGCAGCATTTTAAGAAATTGAAGGCTGGGGGCTGGAGAGATGGCTCAGCGGTTAAGAGCACTGGCTGCTCTTGCAGAGGACCTGGGTTCAATTCTCAGCAGCTTCATGGTGACTGTCTGAAACTCCAGCTCCAGGGGATCTGACACCCTCTTCTGGCCTCCTTGGGCATCACATGCACATGGTGCAAAACACTCATACACATAAAAATAATAAATAAATAAACAAAAAAATAAATTAAAAGAAACAGAGCATGGACGCATTGGAAGAAGTGGCAGGCAGTGAATAGAGTAAGCTCTGTTCCTGTGTCCTTGGTGCAGGACTTGAAGATGGCTGCAGATCTTCCCAGTCTCTCCTACCTCTAATCTCATAGGAGCTAAGGGAGGAAGGCCTTTGTGGGGCGGGGGCTCCCACTTGCAGAGAATGAAACAGAAAGAGGGAGACAAGTTAGGCAACACGTTCTTTATAATTCTTACCCCCTCCCCACCCACTCA